CCCCCGGGGGGAATATCGAAAAATCCCTTCTTAGTGTACATTCTGTTGACGTACCCTATTAAAATGCAATCAAAAATGCAAAAAACCGCATCTAAAATAGTATAAATAGAAGCAGAGTTCTTTACGGTAAGCCTTCCCCGTAAGGCTTACCGTAAAGAACTGTCCATTCCCCATGTTTAACGGAATAATATACAGCCTATGTCCACCGTGAAGTTCCATTCTAAATATTGGTGAAAAAATTTTTGAAATCCGATGAGTAGTTTCGGAGATTACCTGCTACATACAAACTAACATACATACATACATACATACATACATACATACATACATACATACATACAAACATTACCTCTTTATAATATTAGTATAGATAATTAATAATTATATATTTTGGACCTAAGCTTTTTAAACAAAAATAAACTTTCTTTTTTAAACTTTTCTAAAAAATATGCCTAAATATTACGTAAGATAGGGAAGGGGTGGGGGATCATAAAAAAATATTACAGAGGTGGGTGGAGGTCTACAATGGCCGAAATCGCCCTTACGTAATTTATGGACGGCCCCTATATAGGCATTTTACGTGTAAATTTTAGATAAAGATAAAAATAAATAAACATTATCATAGCATTTTATTTATATCTTAATACACTCGATATATTTGATACTGATATATTGTAACTCGTATTTTTCTCTAACTTATTAATTCCTTAATTTATAATCAAGGCTAACAGAGTTCCGTTTCAGATATAGAAATACCTATAGCTGTCATGGAGGGTCTCAATCCACCAATAATATTTCCTTTCTTCTTTTTTCCCTCACATTTACCCGCTTCTTTAATTTGTCTTTCTGTTAGAACTTCGTCCCACAGATTTATGTCCGCTATATCACCAAACCACGCTTTATCAGCATCGTATTCGCTATCAAAAGAATCCTGATCCTGCCCGACAATAAACACGCCATCTCCAAAGATAATACGTTTTCTAACAATGGTATTATTATTAGTATTGTTATGACATCGATACCCATTCGTATACACTTGCAAATGTCCATTCCTGTTAAACCATGATACGCAAACGTGGTACCACTCACCCACTGCCCAGTCTGTATTTGGGCATTGCATTTCTATATAACTTTTTGCGATATTGACACCTACTTTGACGTTTCCATCTTTATTCGAAAGGCACACAGCCAATTCATTTTTGGATCGTATGGTTGCGTAGGAAATAAATGTAGAAAATTCTTTTTGAATAAAATGCGGTTTGATCCAAGAGCAAATCGTGAACTTTTGTAGGTATGGAATATCTTGATTGAGACGAAGACGTGGGTAGTTTCCAGAACTGGAGGGAGGAATGTGTATCTTGACTTGAGAATTCTCTACAAGTGCCAAAGAAAGCAGCGCGCACAACACAGGAAACCACATCTTGCTGTCTCTTCTAAATTGAATTACCTTGACGTTACATCTTTTTATAGTACTTGGAGTATGTGACTTAAGATAACGTTCGCATCTGAGGTTATCGAGGTCAATGTGCAATGTACTTTGAATCATACTATTAAATTTACATAATCGCAGTTTTAATTTAAAGAATCAGTTGCGTAACGTTAAAGTAATATTTATTTAATTATCTTTATTTTATTATTTTTTCGTTTCGAATACTTCATTTATGTGTTATGTGCGGATAAAAGTCTTAATGGTAAATAGTCTAAATGGTAAATATTAATTTCTTAATGGCACAAATAGAAGTAAAAGGAAAAGTTAAAAAAATACAGTACTATAATTATGAACTCATGTATAATAATAACAAAATATTTGTCATTGAAATTAGTATTTGACTTTTATAACCATCGTAGATCTTTGGGATACATAAAGTACATCAACACCAGAGGTTATCGAGGTCATTTTAAAAATATACTTTGTTATTATTTAATTGGGCTGCAATTTGAAAAAATTGTAGACATAAATTCTTAATGTCGTCCGTCTGTCCGTCTGTTTTTCTTTAATCTCCTGAAGGGAGTTAGATGAAAGTCGAGACCAAATAAGGAAACCTTAAACTCTTAGAGGCATGATGCCCCGATTAATTACATACAAACTTTCGATTCAAATCGATTCAATTCAAATATTTTCTCATAAAAGTTGTTAGATAGATGACAGGCACGACTCTATTGTTAATGGAAAAGTATGATGTACCGTACAGAGACAAGACATTATTAATTTCAGGTGGAGAGCATATATTTTAAATGAAAGAAATTAAAAATTGTAGCCCGGCATTGTGACGTTGTAATAATAAATAATTATTCATATCCAAACGATCGCCTTAAATACACGTACTATAAATTTGCTAATTTTAATATTAAGTAATTTGCTACTAGAGGTAGATGTTATCTCTTATCTAAATTAATATTTATAATTTTTATATAATTTAGAGTCATGTGGAAGAAAGGAACTGGTTCGGTTAGGGTTTGAATTCGCACCCTCCGTTTACAGTGCGGTGCACTTGACAGTTGCACGACCCGGACCCCGAGCAAGTCTTCCTGGTGTATTTAAATTTAAATATAACCTTACGCGGTTAATCTAAATGGATTGTTTAATATATACTTAAATAATTTGTCGTTCATTTTATATAATTTGAATTATTAGAAGAAATCTAAAAGTTTAGATATAATTTTGATCTCTCGATTAAAATAGTTTATATACATCTACGCAAATAAAGAAAACTTTTTATATGTTGCCTAAATCTATTATATGAAATCATTTATTTCTTAATATATTTTTTAATAGATAAAATTTATAAAAATATTATCTAAAATTAACTTTTAAAAATTAAACATTACAAAGTATATCATAAACATGAAGATTTTCCCATGAAGTTAACCGTTCTTTCGAAATATTGCCTTTGAAAATGTGCTGCTCTAAGCACCTGCTTAGAGCAGCACGTTATTTATTTAATTTTCAATATC